ATTTGGATGCAGTCATCTCAGAGACCCTCCGTCTCCACTCTCCGGCCATTATTCTGATACGACAGGCCTCTGAAGACTACAAGTTGGGCGACACTGGGATTACACTGGAAAAGGGTCAGCAGTTGGAGATCCCTATCTATGCGGTCCATCACAACGAGGATCTGTACGAAAAGGCCGAAAGTTTTATTCCGGAAAGATTTTTGCTCGAAAATCGTCACAAAATCAAACCCTATAGTTATATACCGTTCGGCGCCGGACCTCGTAATTGCATTGGTATGCGGTTTGGGTTAATGGAGGCTAAGCTGGCATTGGCTCAAGTGATTAAGAGATACCGATTTTTGCGGACTTCCACCACAGATGTGCCGCTTCTGCTCAATAAGAGCACAATTCTTCATTCGCCCAAAAGAGTGATACTTGGGATTGAAAAACGCTTATAATTACATTTGTGTTGTTTTATTTAAGTTATTTTTTAATGACTTATTATATTTGCTTATAATTATTAATTTATGTAAATATATGTTTTTATTATTCATTGTAAATACTGATATATTTAATTAGTGCAATATTCGTTCTAGGTATCTGTATTGATAGAGTATAATTTTGTGATTTAATACCCAAGACTAATTTAATAAAATAAAGTTTATTTAATAAATATAATTATAATCAAATATACACTTTTAAACAAAATATCAATATATGTGATACCGATTTATGATGCCATGAAAATCGGTGTGCATTTGCGAAAACAGTAATCAAATGCAATATCTAATTATAATAATATTATATCTATAAGTGTTATAACTGTTAAAAATATCTCAATATAAATGTATTAAAGAAATAGTATTACAAGTATTTTAAATCAAAGTATAGTCGACAATAGAGTATGTGATAAATCACTTGGTTTTGGACACAAGCAGTTTAAGTGATCTCTCCATCTCCGCCTGTTTGCCGTGCAATTGTCTCATCATTCGCTTATTGGCCTCCAATTCCTGTCCAAACCATTTAATGCGTTCCCATTGAAGCATCGCTAGTGTCTCGGCGCTGGTGTGGCTGTGATGGGCGTCGTATACCTGATCGGCCAGTAGTTTCAGATAAGTGTAGTCGTCGTCGGCCAACGGTTTAGACTGACTTTTCACCTCCGATGACAGAAACAGGTCTTTGAATTTCTATGCAAATCAACAAAACACACACAAATATTATGGTAATTGTATTCTTATGGCAACATTATGTTTACAAAAGTGTCTTTCTTAAAGGGCCGATACTGAAGGGCTCTGTAGGTCCACGTGATAGCCCACCAGCAGTAGTAGAAGATGTTGAGGGGTGGGGGCAGTGCTGTGCGGACCTCGAAATCGATGACCAGTCCGTAGCGCTGAAACTTCCAGATGGTGTCCGTATTGTCGGCCAGTTTCTGAGTACTGATAGCAAACATGGCGTACAATAGAGTGGTCAGAATTAGCTTTAATATAACAAAGTATGTGATAATGAAAGTGTAGGGCCAGAAACCGGTCACACGACACGTGTCGGAGCTATAGCTACTGGCGTAACAAATGCCGGACGTCTGGTTGCTGTCCTTTAGTAGGTATGTGTTCTCGCAATTCTGGTCCACTATTTAAAAGCATAATCAATAAATAAAATAAAATTAGTTTCTAATGAAATGTGAATCAAATACGGATTAATTCGTCGATCGGTGAGACAAAGAGCGAGAAGAAGGCCCTGTGGAACAGCTGTCGAAAGGTCTCGTTGCTAATAGACTGGTCGGGAAAGTAGATGGTCTGTAAGACAATGCCGAAGCTAATGATGACCAAAA